ACCAAAATAAATCATCAAGGCATGAATGATTTCAAACTTTCTTAAGCTAGAATAATTTAATAATAAAACAAAAAAGTAATCTTAAACTCAAGATATGCACTTGTAGAAAATGACAATATTATTTGAGAAACAAGACATTTAATAATTAAAATAGTCCAAAAGAGTCCCATGTAAATCATACAATCATTGAACACCAACCACAACCAAAATAATAAAAACAATGTCTGGCACAACATTTGGACCTCAATGAAAAAATTAGCTTCAAATCCAAACAAGTGATGAATCATGAATATATTACAGTGTGAGACTCCAATACCAAACAAAATATGTCTAACAAACATATGCAAATTTCAACAAAAATTTAATCAATCTCCAAGCTAAGAATAAATATGGAGTTAATAAGGCCAATAGATGATACAGGAAGAGTTTTCTGTTACAGGAATCAACACATCACATATGGCATTAGAACCAGTTATAGTGTTTCTAATACCATCTTATGGATCCCAAAACAAACAGTATATGCATGTCAAATTATTAGTTTTCTTTGCACAACCGAAACATTTTCTGTTTTATATAATCAAATAAATTTTTTTAATTTCTATGGGAAATCAAAATACTCACGCAAACATATTATGTTTGAAATTCAAAACTTGAAGAAGCAAAACAAACCTTGTTGGATCCATTTTTGCAATCAAGGATTTAAGGGAAAAAAGTAGACCGAACATGAGCTTGTGGTCCTGCTGGGCATTAAGGGTGTGCAGTGGACGATTCCATTCTTCTTTCCACTTAATCAACAACAAATCTAAGAAATCAACAACAATTTTGACCAAGGAAATCATATATATATAATAGGAACAAATGAGAATGGTGATGAAAAAAAAACCCCTCCAAACCACTGATTTAACTTGAGACTTTTACACCTCACCATGAAAAAAATTCTTCACCCTTGCTCCCTATATAAACATCATCATCAAATAAAAAACACCATCACTAACATCATCCGCTCTTTCCTATCATAACCATATATATATACACATACCCATATCAGACATGATGCCTCAATTTTTTCCCAAACTAAAAATACAACTATTACAATGAAGGAAAATTGGACTAAGAGGACACTTGACGACTTCTAATAGTGTCAAAATATGCCAAAAGGGAAAGAAGAAAAATATTGTAACTACTAAATACATTCAACAGATGCAACAACTATTGAGACTACATTACTAAACACTGCTAGAAAATTTATGATTGCTATGAAAGATTATTACACTATACACCCACAACCCGTCTCTATTCTTACTCACAGATATGTAAAACGTAAACAAAATCATGAACCACCAATATATGATGCTACCCAACTCAGTTTTGTCATATATTCTAATAATTGAACTTCCTAATGATATCACAGCACATACAGTATACCATCTGCAGTCTTTTGTGCATACATACCTGTGTACCTATTCTCTCATTTGCACGCTGTAATGTTCACAAGCAGCACTATACTGTCCTATTTTGTTATGTAGATACATGCACTGATTCTGGATTATCACTGGAGTGGAGGCATGAAGAAATATATTGTTGATTGTATTACGAATTTGTCCTTCACTCACATGAAACGATCACCGCTGTTGTCACCTTCATTACTTTGTTTCAAACTAAGATTGGCGAAAGCCCTCGACAAATATAAAATGATGAAATTACATGTGCTCGAATTGGCATACCTTTTGCGCTTGCTCTTCAAGACTGTAGAAGTGGAATGTGCCAATTCCTTTTCCTCTGATTAATGAACCAATTATTTATCTGTTTCAATTGCAACCCTGTTTCCTGGACCAATCTTGCCTTGTCTTCCTCCTGAAAGAACAACAATTAACCACGGTGATTTAGAAAAACTCACCACTTAATTCTTGCGGCAAGCAGTATCAACAAACTCACCACTTAATTCTTGCAGCATGCAGTATCACAGATCAATTTAGTCAAACAATAAAAGGCAAATTCAGTGTCCTTTTAATGTTATGGAGAGCACATGAGAGCAAACTTGCCCGAAACTTTTAGCACAAGTCCAAACTAATAACCATGGTTAGTTGGAGCTTCATGCTTACCCATTAGTGCTTTAACCTACCAAATTTGAAACTAATAGCACGAAAGCAACCCATTCAAAGCCAAAGGTCATTGTGCTTCTCAATCATGAAAACTTACAGTTGGGTACGGCCACTTAGAATGTGATTGCCACCAAGCCTTCAACATAGAAGTGGTATCACCAGGGAGCTTTCCTGCCCTTCTCTTGCAAAAGATTTCCTCCCTAATGTCAACGATTTTCTCCTTGTAACCCTATAAAAAAAAATTTAAAAAAAAAGAAAAAAAATATTAGTTGACGGCAATATATGCATAGAAAAGTGTCCACAATCAAATATTTGTCTCTCACCTGTTTCAGTTCATGCTTCAGCTCTTGCCTCACACGCTCCATCAAGGATCTTTCACTCTCTGTTGGGACGAGAGGACCAAAACCCAAGATGTCAGCACCCTCCAAACTTCCATCAAACAAGTTTGTGTCACTGTCTACTTGGTCATCGTCATCATCAGACATTGTTGCCCCTGTGCCTTCTCCAGGAGAAACACCTGTTCATATACCATGTTAAGCAGAATTTGCTTTAGTATTTCAAGATTAGACAGCATGGAGTTCAACATGGTAAAGTACAATTCCATTTTATAATTTTTCATTATGCTTTTGATTCTTGAATCTTGCTACTTTACCATAAGAACAGGTTTATCTGCAGAAGAAACAAAGCAATAGGTGTTCCTTTGACAATTTTTTTTTTAGATATTGTATATTTATCTCAATAAGGACAAGTGATCTACATTTGGTCAGACCAAAAAAAAAAAAAATCAAACGTAACCAATTCCGTGTTATAAAAATGTATACGCATGTATCATGGTTCTCAAGGGTCATCACAGCCACACTAGGTATTCAGTTACAGGTGCTTCTTGTGAAATGTCATAAACCGTCATACGGAAAGGCTACAGACCAGAGTCGACAAAAGAGTTATGCCGACCGTAGGAGGAGGCCTTTGGCGTTTGAGGTAGGTGATCATGTCTTTCTGAAGATATCACCTAGGCGAGGCCTGATGAGGTTTGGGAAGAGTGGGAAGTTATCCCAT